ATATCCTCCCCTAAATCTTCGGCGACGGCTCACGACGGGCTTATCATCGCGCTGGACACGACGCCTTCCCTTCTTATTCGATCGTGTGCCGCCATGTTTGGATGCCTGGCAAACTCGCTGGAGTTTGTGTCCGAGTGGGCACCGACAGTAGGGCTAGCGACATGTACATTTTGAATTGGAACGCCCCGCACACGATGCGGATTGGAGAAAGCAACTGACCAGGACGTCCTCGCCAACAAAGAGCAGCAACAACTATTTTGGAAACAGGCGGATCACGTCCTCAAGCTTCTTGGTAACCATAAGCGTGCTATTCTAGTTTGGGGCTTGGACAATAGCGGCGACCTTCGGGCTGAAGCGCCATTGGTGGGGCTCAAGAGCGCCCGCCTGTATACGCCTACCCGCAGCAACAACGGCGAGTTTTTGCGGACCCTCCCCCGCGACTGCCGGTTGAAAGCTCTCAACACGTTCGGCAGTACCCGAAAACTTTCTTGGACTTGGATCAGACCGATGGGAGACAACTCCCCCATATATATTTCTTGATCGTCAAGCTCCAGCGGCACTCTGGCATCTGGATTTGGACAGACTACACGGCACCTGTCGGTATTAAGGAAGTTCGCGATCATCGCCCTATTGTTGGCGTCCTTGACATATACTATGGGTCTACCCAAGAGGTCGATTCCACGCTGGGACCGTGTGTCCCTCTCAGCGGCACTCAAGTTAATCCAAGGTATCCCTGAAGATAATGTGGTACAGTGCGTTTCGTCCGATTGGATTGACGTACAGAGGGCTCTTCACTTTCGCACCTTCGTTGAGGCAGGTCTTGGTTAATTGTCGTTGGAGGCACTCGTTTTCAGCGACCCTGGCCGTGGCTACGAACAACTTGAAGACTTGCCCGTACGAGTTGGTATCGCTGCTGGCTTTGTCCTCCGCCCAGGCCAAAGTGCGCTCAGTCGTCTGTCTGCGCTCCAGGCGTCCACCCTGAAGCTGATAGAGGAGAAGCACCGGTGGCTCAAGATCTTGAGCGACGTCCATTTTCACGACATCTTCGTTTTCTCCCAGCATCGCTTTTGCGTGGCTCACATGGCCACGGTGGCAGCCAAGAAGGTCAAGGCAGCAATTCGGCAAGACCGCAGGGCGAACGCCCAGCGCTTTGCCCTGGAGGCGAGGGAAGCTTTCTCCCGCGGCGACCCACGAGGAACCTTTAAACTTATTTCTGTGTTGGCCCCAAATGGAAAGGCCTCTGCCGTGTCCATTCGGCTGCACGGGGAGCTTTGCTGGTCTACGCGTCAGGAGCTTACTGCCCGCGAGCGCGCAGCGGGAAATATCTACGGCGCTCAGCGTGTCGACCTTCAGCTACCTGACCCTGGTGCTCCATGAACCCCGCCGGCACTGCCCGAGGGCCAGGGCGACTACGACGTCTTCACGCCGTCCACGGTTGAGTCCATGATCAAGCGGATGCCGAACTTCAAGGCTGGGCTATCGATCTCTGCCGCGGGCCCTGGTGGGCCGCTGCGGGGCGCAGTCGGCGAGCTGTTCAAACTTGCCTCTGGCGTCGTCGCGGAACCCTTCGCTGACCTGTCCGCGGGGATGGGCGCGCTCGTGTCGTTTCCTCCCTGGTAAAGGAGGACACGGCTCGGGCCCTAAGGGTGACTGCAGATATTTGTCTTTGCTCAGCCATTGAGGGAAACAACTCATCAAAGCCTTTCTCGAACCTGCGACTTCAGATTTTGCCTCAGCTGTGCTACCGGCGCAGTTTGGAGGGCTCCCTGGGCGCTCCGCGCGGGACGCCATCGGCGTCGTTGGGGAGATATCAACCGCGTCACCTGCGCCGCCAACCAGCGTCGCAGCCATGCTCGATCTCGTTGGATATTGGTACAGGCGCTCTTTGACCTCGGCAAGGCGTTCGACAAAGTCGACCGTGGAATGCTCTGCGACGCGCTTGCGTCTCTGTCTCATCGCGTGCGCCTCCGCCTACTGCTGGAGGAGGCGCACAATGGCACGTGCACGCTGCTGAAGGATTTACGTGCTGGCCGCCTTGTGCGGCGCCGTTCGGTCCGTCAGGGCGTGCGCCGCGGGTCAGTGGAAGGGCCCATCTGTTTCGTCGTCTTTTACGACCGAGCCCTGAGGCTCATCCGGGGCGCGAGAGGCGAGGACAGCGATCAATTCGCGGCAATCTTCGGGCTAGGATTGGATCGCGTGGACCCCGAGGTTGGGGGGGGGGGGGCGGTCTTTATGGGCGATCTGAGTGCCATGGGGTTCTTCCTTGATTTTGAATGCGTGGGGGCGTTTCTTACCTTGGTCGCGCAGGTCCTGGTGGAACAGCGGTGCGTGGCGAATTACTCCAAGCTGGAGGTTGCCGCCCGGTGCTTTGGAGCCGGCTCGAAGGCTTTCAGCGGGAAGGCCCAGAAAAGGCCAATTGTTCGTGCAGGTCGGCGGCGTGCGCATTAATGTCCGTGAGCGCGCAGAGTACCTGGGCCCCCGCCCCGCAATTTCGGGGGCGCCGATGGTGGAGGCCAAGGCTCGCGTAAAGGCCGCTTCCACAGCCCACCATCGCCTCTCTACGCGTTTCTGGAAGTGCCGCGCTTTCCGACTTACAGGCGAAGTGGTTTTGTGAACAGCGTTAGTCCGTTCCGTCTTGATATGCGCCCTGGAGGTGGAGTTCTGGCGCGCCGCTGCGTTGCCGCGTTTGGAGAGATTCCAGGCCCGGCGCCTTCGACACCTCGCGCGCTTGCCCGCGCACCTGACCAGAGTAAAATCTGAGGCAGCGCGCAAATAATGCAATGTCCCTACGGTCGAGTCGTCTACGAGACTCGAGCGATTGCAGTGGGCGCGGAAGGTAGTCGGCCCCATCTTCCGGAACGATGCTAACAGCCCCCTCTTCGGCACCCTTGAGTACGATCCCAATATTGCTGTCAGGGCCGCATTCTTCGGGCGTTTCGATTTCGAGGGAAGCAGGGCCGAGGGGGAGATGGCGGCTGGACGACGCACAATCCTATCGGATCGGGGATGGTGCTGTACGAGGGCTTGCGCCCCTGCTCGGCGTGGATCGTGGGCTGGATCAGCCCACTATTACTTGGGTCCCGTTCGAGTCCATCAATCTGTGCTCGCGTCTGTTTCTATTTTGCTGGAGGGCCCTCCAGAGCTTCATGCGCCGGTTCCTGAATGTGGCGTGCTGCGCCGTGGACCCCGGGGGCTCAGTATCCCCCGAAAACATATACTAGTCAAATCTATGCCTCTCTGTCAGCTCCAGTGCCATCAGTGCTGCGTGACTTTCGCCCGACGCGACAGCCTCGTGCGCCGCCTCCGCTCCAGATGCAAGGCTGGAGTCGCTGTAGTCCCCAGTTCCGCGTCCACCCTTTCGGTAATTCCAGTGGCCCCCGTCCCGGCCCCTGCTGCCGGTGACAGTCCTAGCCGTGAGAGCGCGGGCTCAAGCCTGGATCCGACATTTCGCGACGCTCCTGCCGCTCCTGCCCGCATTGTGGACGGCCGTGTCCGAGGCGATCTCGTCCGCGCCGCGCAGAGTGGCCGAGGTCGAGGACGGGGGCGCGGGCGCGGCCGCCTCGCGGCAGGTTCTGGACCTCCCCGGGGGCAGGAAAGGACAAGGACAAGGTGAAGGGCGAGAGCGAGCCCGCGGCCGGGGGCGCGGGCGACGAGGGCAACCGGGCTCCGAACCCTATGGGGGACAGGGCCATGGAGCTGCGGCTGCTGGAGGCTCTATCGCGGCTGGCGCTGTCCCTGGGCGACGAGCGGGCCCGCGCGATGCGCGCCCGTAACGCGGTGTTGACGGGGCCCGAGGACCACCCTCTGATGGTGGAGATGGCGGCCATGGTGGATGGATACCCGGCGGCAGGGCCCGTGGCGCGCCAAGAGGCGCGCCAGGGGCCACCCGTATGGCAAGAAGCCGATGGCGCTGCTCAGTTCCTTGATCTTCCGGCTCGCGAACAAGATGGAAGGGCACAGGGAGGCCGCGCCCGTGCGCGTGGAGGGCGAGCGCGGGGCGGGGGGGCGCGCGGCCGTCGATGAGGCGCTCGCGTGGCTCAAAGTCGCGGGTGGGTCATTGCAGCGGTCCCCAATCTCGGCTGCGAGGTGCTTCGGCGCGCGCGTGGAGGACGATGGGGGCCGGCGATGGTGCAGCGTGCTGCAAGAGGGTCTTCGCGACCAGCCGCGTGCCGCGCTTCCTGGAGATGTGGGGTCTCTTGCAGGATCTGTGCCTGGCGCGCGAGCTGGGCCTCGCGGTTGGCCCCGACCACGGCCCCAAATCCAAGTGCGCTAAGGAGGTCTCTAAGCTTGCCTCCGGGGCGAAGGGCAAGGGCCAAGGGAGGGGCGGCCTCCTCCAGGCTAAGAAGTAAGTTCTGGAACGCGAGCCGTGTTTTTCGGGGCATGCCAGCCCGTCGACCTATTCCGGCTGCCTCCGGCATGCAAGACCCGAGTGCGCGATTCGCGTTGCAGTCTTGATGCGGATCCATGTGTACATGTTTGTGCCAGATCAGACTTGTACACGCCAGGTGCGCCGAGGGTGGTCGCAGATGCAGCCCCCCTCGTGCGCCGCGGCAGTGCCAGTTGGTAGGAGACCAACCGCGTTCTGGGCAGACGCTTTATGAGGATGTGTGGCAGACGCCGCCAGTCCGCATATACCGCGTGGTACGGTTGGCGCTTGCAAAAATTCTTGACGCTTCGCGAACCCCCGCCAACTCGGCCCACGGTGGCCGTCGGCTCTCGCGGCTGCTACAGCGCAGCTTCCCCCAGGTCGCCCCACCCAATGGCAATGTTTTGCCCGCTTGCTTGGACGCGCGCCACACGCCGCCCCTGGAGGTACAGCCAGCACTGTGTACTTGGAGGATCAGGCCTTCCCTCGGTGGCCTTTGGCGTACTTCAGGCGGCAGCGCCACCGCCAGTGCAGCGCCCCTCCGGACTCCCCTGCCTCGCTGGCGATGCTCACCACGCCTGCCTGGCCTTCTCCTCTAGCCCCTCTGGCCTGGCGCCGTGCCGCTGCCCGCGAGGCTCGCGGTCGTCCGGGCCTACCACGTGCACTGTCTGGTGGACTTGTGGGTGTTGAGGTCGCCACGGAGTGGTTCAGCCCTTCGCAGCAGCAGCAGCACCCCAGGCTCATCCCCCCGCTCCCGGCAGGTTGCGTCGTTCCACGTTCCTCGGCAGCTCAGCTCCCCTAGCCAGCGCACGTCGTTGGGACGGTTGGAGCCGGGCGCCCCACTGGCGACTCGCTCCTCGGGCCTCCACTCAGAATGACGGACACGGTTGCTCCGGTGCACGTCATGTCACTGTGTGGGTCATGCCTCATGGCAGGCATCGAATTCCTCGACATTTTGTCCACTGCGCGTGCCCGAGCTTCCCAGGTTGCCCCCTGCCGTCAGCTCCCCCTCAGCCTCGCGGCTGCTTTGTGTGTGGGCCGGCCGGCTAGCGGCGCCTGTTGTAGCTAATTCGGCTTGCCCGTCGGCCCGGACACCCTGCCCGCCGCCTGCCTCTTCGCTGGCGGCCGCGACCAAAAAAATCCCCACCAGCCCATCCAGAATCGATGCCCAGAGGAATTGCCTCGATCAGGGAAGTGGGCAGCACACAGAGGAAACCATTATGATACATCTTGGGATATCTTGAGCCATCTTGGAGGCCATTCTGGGCTCTCCCAGGCGCTCGTGGAGTCATCTGAATCAGTTGCCCCCCCCCAAGAGGCCAACATGAGGCTAAAACCTTGATCGAATCAGTGATTTGGCATTCTCGCCGAGGCCTCTTGGAACATCTTGGGTGCCTCTGGGGGGTCTCTTGGGGCCTCTTGGGGGTCTCTTGGGGGCCTCCTGGGGGCCTCTTGGGGGCCTCTTGGGGCCATCTTTGGGCCATCTTGGGGCACCCTTGGGAGCCTTGGGGGCCATCTTTGGGCCATCTTGGGTGAGATCGATCACAAGTGGGGGGGTACGGATTACAGTCGCCCCCCCCCCAGGAGGCCAAAATGGGGCCAACTCTCAAGTGAAATCAATGAATTTGGCTTCCTCGCCGAGGCCGTTTTGGACGCTCCGACGACTCGCCAGACCCCCTGTCCAGGTCCATGGTGAGGGGGTCGGGGGAGGGATAACCCCCCCCCCGAAGGGGAAAAAGAGGGGTGGAAGAGGAAACCCCGTAAACCACCGACGCCCAGAGGGCTGGTGGGATTTTCGGGCCCCCCGGGGCCGAAATGTATCCATATCCGCCGCCCGCTGGGGCACCAGGACGTCGGTTCCCAGGCGGTGGATATGGATAAATCCCCGCTTCGCATTCAAATTTTTCGTCCGAAATCTCCCTGTAGGTTGACATGCCCGACCTGACGCCAGAGCGACCCAAGGCGTGCTCGGAGCTTCCCGGAACGCCCTGGGACGGCCGCGAAGCGCCCGGGGTGTGCGGCCTCCGTGCGCGCTGGCTCCCAGAGGCTCCCGATTCCTCCTCCGAATTGGTCCTCCTCCCGCCTTCCTCTCAGCACTCCTGCCCCTGCCCCTCCTCCCTCCCCAGACATCCGACTCGGGGGTGGATCGACCTCCTACCCTGACACGTCGATTAGCGAATTGGCCGTTTTCGGTTCGCGAGAGGGCGTCGCGGCCGTCGTTTTTGCGGGTCCAGGCCCGTCGGTTTCGGTCCCAGGCCGTTTTCACTAAGGGGAGGTTTACTAAACGGAGGTTTGTCCACCGCCGAACAGCACTCTTCCCCCTGCCCCTCCTCCCTCCCCAGACGTCCGACCACTTTTTTTTTCCCGTCCACAACGTGGATCCCCAGAGGTCCGGACCCCTTCCGAGGGGCCGGCTTTTCACCCCCAGTTGCTTCTTGGCGGTCCTGGGGCCCGGGACGGACCCCTGGACGCCGAAAGCTGCCCAAAAGCATTTGTCGTGCTTTCCTCGGGGGCGGAAAAGAGGGGGGTGATGACTAAGGCGGGGGTGGATATCATGGCGCGGGCCATGATATTTCCCCAGATTTCATGGCGCCTCTTCTTGTTTCATTACGTCCCTGGCCCCCCCGCTGGGCCGCGCACATGCCGCCGGCCATGATTTGCACCCCCCCTCGTGGACACCCCCCTCTTGGCCGCTCCCGATCTCCCGCGGCGCGAAGACGTCTCGTGGCCTCCTGCCGGCGGCGCAGGCGACTCCGACATCATCCGGTCTCTGCCTGGCGGCGAGTGAGGGAGCCCCCGGGCGGCGCCGCGCGCCGAGCGCGTGGGCGGAGGAAGAGCGCCCGCCGCCCCGGGGGGCTGCTTGTTCGCTCGGTCTGGCGGCAGGCGGGCTGAGGCTATGTCGGGCCTGTCCATCTACAGGGGGAATGTCCGAGAATAGTCCAACAAAAATAGTTCGGGGACGACGTTTTGACAATTTTTGGCCATTTTCGAATCTGTTTTGACTATGCTTTGTGTTTCGTCCAACCTCCGCCTGTAGGGCGACATGCCCGACCTGAGACTGGGGCGGGCGTGGGTACAGTCGGACCGAGGTGCAACATCGGGGTCGCTTCTGGGAGGGTCCCCCCGTGCTCTTCGCATTTGTCGGATGTTCTCCCGTGCATCCTGGGGGGAGGGCACTCTCGAGTGCTCTTCCTGGAGGCCGGCGGAGGGCCTCGTGCTCTCGAGGAGTGTCCTTCTGTCCCGGGTCCGACCCGATCATGGCCAGGTTGGGGACCACAGGTGGGTCTGGTCAACGCTCGGGTCGGCCGAGTCCCTTCAGGTGATGCCTGGGAGGCCCGAGTACTGACCCGACTCGTGGTGGCCCAGAGGCGGCAGCTCCATTCAGGAGGGGGAAAGACACACAGAGACACTATTGATCGTCGATTCCTCAGAAAATGCAGGAAAATAAAGGAAGTGGGGGGGAAGGCGAAAACCCAGAAAAATATGCGAATCTGGGGAATCCTGTTATTTGTGTGTATTTGTTTGTGTGTCCCTGGGCCCCTTCGTCCATGGCTGATTGGTCAGGTCGGTGTTCAGGCGGCTCCTGTGGCACTCCAGCAAAACTCCCTTGGCGCCCAGCGCTGACCTGCCTGTTTTTCCGACCCCCTGCTTCTGGCGGGTAAATGCCTGTGCTGACCCACCCACCCCCTCTCGTCCGCGCGCATGTCTCTCTCGCCGTGATGCGCTGACCCCACAAAATAATCGGCGATTCGCCAGGAAATATAGGAAAATATGGGAAGTGGGGGGGAAGACGAAACCCAGAGAATGTGGGAAAACATGGGGAATCCTGTTATTCGTGTCGTGATGCGCTGACCCCACCCCCTTGCTGCCCCCCCCCCTCCTCGGCGCGTGCCGAGCCTGACCGCGCGGGCGGAGGACGCGTGCTCGCCCTGCTTTTAAGTCGGGCCTGTCCCTCTACAGGTGGAATATTCCATACTAGTTTTTGATAATAGTCTGTTTTTTTGGGGGGGGGAGGGGGGGGGGTATTTTTCGACTATTTCGGAATATCTTTTTAGTATTTTTATTTGTTCTGTCGAAAATCCCCCTGTAGGAGGACACGCCCAATTTAAGCCTACTTGGGGGGTGCTGCTCGTTCGTGCGGTCTGGTGACGCGCGCAGAGCGGGGTGTTGCGCGGGCGGCCTTTATGTGTTACGATGCTCGAGCCGAAGGCATCTCATATCATTTTAGGAGCGTTTTTCTGTTTTCCTCCCCAGGGTAACGCTCGTTACCCCGCCCCGCCCTCCCCCCCCACCTCCCTGGGTAACGCTTACGGTCGTACTGGGGGAGGTGGCCTTGACCCCCCCCCGTACATGCTGTTATCGTGCACACAGGCGATTGATGCCAGTGGCGCGCACGCACCCTGGCGGGTGCACGCCGCGGCCGCCGTTACCGTGACCCTCCCGCCCGACCCTCCCCCCTGAGTAAGGGCCGCCACGCGGGGAATGAGAACAGCGGTCTTTTTGGGCACCTCTCTAGTGGCCTGGCCGGGCCGTCTGGGAAGCAACAACTGTGGCAGCCTGGGCGCCCCGAAGAGCGCACGGAGAAGGCGTCGGGGCGCCCAGGGGGGCCGCGCGGGGAGGGGGGGGGCGGGGGAGGCATGCAAAGGAGCGACGCAACAAGCACAGGGTCATCTTCGCCGACATTGGCGCGTGAGCTGCCCGCGTAAGGTCGCGCGTGAGCGCCCTCGTCTCCATTTGGCGTGCCGCGCTGGCGGCCCGCACAAGGCACCGCGTAAGGCCGCTATGCCATCTCGCGTCAGACCCGTGTTTGATCGTCGCTCGAATGGACGCGGGCAGAGAAGCCCTACCAGGCAGCACTCGGCACTCCACCCTGCCTCAGCGTGCCAGTGGGCATGGTGGCGGATCTTAGGCTCGATGATCTGCGCAGGTGTCGAGGTCCCAGAGGAAGGCATTGCAGTAGCATGTTCGGGGGGGTCCAAAGGTGCCCCTGGCCCAAGGCGCCCCTAGCTTTTCGCTCAATTCCGGAGGGCCCTCTGAGCCTCGTGCAGGGGTGCTCTGGAGGCAGTGGGGGCCTCCTTGGAAATCCTGGGGGCACCTTGGGCCATGGGCACTTCTGGCAATACCCGACGCGTGGAGAGGGCGTCCGTGGGGCAGGTGAGGCGTCTGCCTGCCGGCAGGGCTAGGCGCGCGGAGCTAGGTGTTCGAGGTCCCCCCGCGGATGCACTCCTTAACAGTGGGTCTCTGGCTGCACGGTTCTCAGGAAGGAAGGGAGTATGGGAAAGAAAGAGTGAACGTTCGATCGAGCGCCCAAGGATGTCTCGTTCCGCTTGCGGAGACGGCGTGCTTCATGCAGAAAGATGGAGGCGCATGCAGCAGCAAAATGCAGCTAATGGAGAGAAAAAGCAAGATCCAGGACATATGGACAAACATGGGACATCCTGGAATCAGTGCCGATGTATTGCGAAGGCTTTACGGCCTGTGCCGCAGATCTTGAAGGGGGACGACGTCAACGACGACGACAACGGCGGCGGCGGCAACGATGACGACGCTGACGTGGGCCAGAGTCCTCAGGGATGGTTCTTGGGTCTCTTCGGAAGTCTCTCGGGGGCCTCTGGGGAGGAATTTTGGGATCTCTCGGGAGCCTCTTGGGGGCCCCTTGGGAGCCTCTTCGGGATTCCTGGAACCTCTTGTGAGCTTCTTGGGTCTTGGGGAGATCTTGGGGGCCTCTGGCGCCGTTTTGGAGCGGCAGGAAGTGGAAAAGGCGAGAACGCCCAAATTTGAAAAACCAGCGAAAAGCAATGAATTTGGCCCCTTGGGGCCCTCTCGGGAGTGCTTTTGGAGGCGTCTTGGGGCGTCCCTGAAGCCTCCTGGGCAGTCTGGAGGGCGTGAAGGCGTTTTGGACCGATCGTTTGGCGATTATGGACCCTCTCAGACCGTCTCGGCGGCCTCTTGGGGTACTCTTGACCTGTCTTCGTACTTTCTGAGGCCCGAGGGCCCCCAGGGGGGGAAAGCGTATCTGGTTGTCGACCCCCCCCTGGGACCCCCCCCAGGACCCCCCCGTCCCGGCGCGGGGAAGGGATCAAAGGGACGGGGTTTCCCTTCGACTCGATTACGACATTGCTAGATTTTGCTCTCGCTAACAAGCTTGAGGAGAAGGACGCAGGGAAAGGGGACGACGGAGACGACGGCTGGCGGCGACGACGACTCGAACAGCCAAACCTCTCACACGCCGACAGGGTCGGCGGATTTGTGTCCAAGCGATATCGATCTCGGAAACCAGTGGCGTGAAGAAGTTTGTCCCCATAGTCGCATCCATAATCTATTTCGACGGCCCGATCGTCTTATTCCTTGCTGAAGCTATCGCCCTGGAACACGCCAGCCCTGAAATGCTGTGGTGGCGGAAGTGGGTGGTCCCGGCAATTATGTGCAGTGCTCTCTGTTGTGCAATGTTGCTTCAGGCCAGTTTCGTGGAGCCTTGCCCCCCCCTCGCGAGACAGCAGGGCCTCCCAGTGGGCCCCTCCAGACGGACTCACAAAGCTCACCATCGGGACCCACGGCCCCTGCCAGCTTGCCACGCGATGCCCACACGGACCGGGAACAACACAAAAACAAGTGGCCCGACGACGCCCGAGGGGCGCCAGCCCCGCCGCCGACCTCCTCGGGAGGCGCTCCGGGCGCACGCGCGGAACGGCATCGGCGCCCGCCTCGCCTCGCCTCGCAGACGGGGTCGGAGCAGAAGGGGTCGGAGGGTAGCGTCGCGTCGCCGACGCTTCGGCGAGCACGGCGCGTGCTGGAGCCCGTTCTGCCCCAGGCCCGTTGTCGACCCTCCGACGACTCTCCGACCTCAGCTGCTGCAAAGCCTCATGTAGGGGGAGGCCACCATTGGCCTCTCGGCAGGCCCTCTCTGCGAGTCGTCCCTGCCGAGAGGCCGTCTGATTTTTTCAAAAGTCTGAGCAGCCCAACCCCCGTCGGCCCCCCCCCCCCGGCGCGGCGCCAGATGTTTACTCGAAGAAGGAGATACGCCATAAACATAAACTTTGGTCGCTCCGCGCGGATCTCTTGGAGCCGCGCTGGGCCCCCCCAGCGGCGCCTCTGGCGCCGCCCCTGGGGCGCTCTGCGCGCCAGGAAGGGGGGTCCAGCGCAGATCCAAGACATCCGCGCGGACCTCCAAAAGTTTCTGTTTATGCCGCTTTTTCTTCCTGTATTTACGCCTGCCATCCTCTTGTACTTCCCAAATTCCGCCGATCTGACGTGCAAGCTCTAGATGAGCCTCCCTGGGGTCAGTGGGGATGGGCGCGAAGCTCCTGCTCCACAAGGGGGCTGGGTGCCGTGGTGGCTCTGCTGGGGTAGGGGGAGGGGGCGGGGGTTCTCGAAATTCCCGGGGCCTCTTGGGACAGGGTTTCTCCGAAATCCGCAGGGCCTTACGAGAATCTATGATTTCTGCCTTTTCGACCTCTTGGCTCGCAGTGGGCCTTCAGATGGCTCAAGATGGCCCCAGGACAGTCCAATATGACCGCAAGACACGCCGAAAGGCCCCCACGACGCGCCAAGAGGGCCCTCCATAGCGATTTTGCCTCAAGCTCCTGGCGAGGGGCCTCCTATTGCTTCGTCGAACTGTCGCCACTTCACTCGGCCAGGGGATATCAGCGGTGATGTGCGAACCTGTGACGTGCGCAATCGGTGCTGGTGCGGTGTATGCTGGTGCGTTGTGTCTCTGTTGCCTCGTAGTGATTGTGAGTTGCGAGTGTGGTTCTTTTTCTTTTTCGCCCGTCTCACGGCCTTGGGCGTCCATTCGCAAATTGCGGATGCCGAAGCCGAGATGTACAACTGCACGGTCAGAAAGTACGAAAGCAGGATGGAGAATGTGTCCAGCAACAACCCGACGGTTTCCGAGTGTGCGCAGGAGGTTATGGACCAGATGAGTGTTTGCGGTCGCGTGGGCGAGGAGAAGAACATCTCTGAGGAGTGCAGAGACATCACCAGGGAGTGCGGGTGTTTGCTGACTGAGGCGCTCACCGATATGGACACACCTCTTGTCGAAGAGTTTACTCAATGCTGCGACATGGGAGACTTGGATCTGCCACATGCTATAGGGGTGTTGGGGCAGACAGAGGACTGACTAAGAACTGACTGCGTCCAAGTCATGACACATGTCACATCCGAAATTGAAGACATGGCCACTGCTTGCAAAGCAGGAGAGTACCCATTCGAGGACTTTGACACGTACATGGTGCCCGGCGGCCTGACCGATCTTCTGTCGAGTTTTTTCCGTCGGCCAGGCAGCTCTCCTTGGATCTGCCAGCGGCGGCACTGCCGCCATGGTGGGAGCATGCGGTGGCTTTGCGTTAACAGCAGCGATGATCCTCGTTGCTGGGCGCACGATGCGATCTCGCATGCAGCCGACCGGCGGGGCCGCGCGGCTGGTCGAGGAGCCCATGATGATGGCCCGCCGCTTTGAGCTCCAGTCGGTGGAGTGACCGCGCGGGCCCGCGAGGGGAGCTGAGCTTTCCGCGCCGCGCAGTTGCCTGCATCGGCGCCTCGCGCCGAGTGCCTGAGACTGTTTTTCCAAACCCTCCTTGGTTGGGCATGCGTTTTGAATACAGCACTGCGGTCTCCAGTCCTCCTCCCGCCTCTCGCCTCTCGCTTTCCTCTTGTCTCCTCTTGTCGTGTGCGTACCTCATGTGTGTGTGTGTGTGTGCATCCTGGCTGCGGTACCTCTTGTGTGTGCATCTTGCCAAGGGGCTGCGATCTGTGACACTGTCGCCACTTTCGAGGGCTGCTGGTGGGTTCTGCGGAGTGAGGCACCGCGGGGACCTGAGCGACACCTCGCCGTCTCTGGGGGGCTGCGACCTGCGACACTGTCGCCACTTTGGAGGGCTGCTGTTGGGTCCAGCGGAGTGAGGCACAGCGGGGACCTGAGCGAGACCTCGCCGTCCCTGGGGGGCTGCGATCTGCGACACCGTCGCAACCTTCGAGGGCTGCTGGTGGGTTCTGCGGAGTGAGGCACCGCGGGGACCCGTGCGAGACCTCGCCGTCCCTGGGGGGCTGCGATCTGCGACACAGTCGCCACTTTGGAGGACTGCTGTTGGGTCCAGCGTAGTGAGGCACCGCGGGGACCTGAGCTAGACCTCGCCGTCCCTGGGGGGCTGCGATCTGCGACACTGTCGCCACTTTCGAGAGCTGCTGGTGCGTCCAGCGGAGTGAGGCACCGCGGGGACCTGAGCGAGACCTCGCCGTCCCTGGGGGGCTGCGATCTGCGACGCTGTCGCCACTTTCGAGGGCTGCTGTTGGGCCCAGCGGAGTGAAGCACTGCGGGGACCTGAGCGAGACCTCGCCGTCCCTGGGGGGCTGCGATCTGCGACACCGTCGCCACTTTCGAGGGCTGCTGGTGGGTCCAGCGGGGTGAGGCACCTCGGGGACCTGAGCGAGACCTCGCCGTCCTTGGGGGGCTGCGATCTGCGACACCGTCGCCACTTTCGAGGGCTGCTGGTGGGTCCAGCGGACTGAGGCACAGCGTTGACCTGAGCGAGACCTCGCCGTCCCTGGGGGGCTGCGATCTGCGACACCGTCGCAACCTTCGAGGGCTGCTGGTGGGTCCAGCGGAGTGAAGCACCGCGGGGACCTGAGCGAGACCTCGCCGTCCCTGGGGGGCTGCGATCTGCGGCACTGTCGTCACTTTGGAGGGCTGCTGTTGGGTCCAGCGGAGTGAGGCACCGCGGGGACCTGAGCGAGACCTCGCCGTCCCTGGGGGGCTGCGATCTGCGACGCTGTCGCCACTTTCGAGGGCTGCTGGTGGGTCCTGCGGTGTGAGGCACCGCGGGGACCTGAGCAAGACCTCGCCGTCCCTGGGGGGGCTGCGATCTGCGACACCGTCGCCACTTTGGAGGGCTGCTGTTGGGTCCAGCGGAGTGAGGCACAGCGGGGACCTGAGCGAGACCTCGCCGTCCCGGGGGTGGCTGCGATCTGCGACGCTGTCGCCACTTTCGAGGGCTGCTGCTGGGTCCAGCGGAGTGAGGCACCGCGGGGACCTGAGCGAGACCTCGCCGTCCCTGGGGGGCTCTGGAGAGCTGCTGTGGGATACGTTAGGGGCAACGTGCGCGTGGCACAGCCAACGGTGGTGATTTGTGAAACAGACCATCTGCCGGGTGATGGCCATAACGTTGCGCCTACACGTATCCCGCGGGGGCTCTCAAAGCTGCTGTGGGATACGTTGGGTGCAACGGGCGCATGGCACAGCCAACGGGGGTGATTTGTTATCACGTAGCCCTTATATCTTGATCGGGGGCCTGCGAGCCTTCCGATTGCTGCTCGCAAAGTCACATGCGTCCATGTTACGTCATCGCCCCCGTTGCAATCCTGATGTACTTATGCCCCGCATTGCGCAAGGGTTGGGTACGTCGCCAGGGTAATTTTTAGGGTCCGGCGATAACCCAGGTTATCGGGCTTGCCCCCCCTCCCCCCCACCCCAGGATAACCTAACCTTGCCGGTTGTGCAGGTCCAGGGTGGGGGGGCGCGGGCATATGCAGGGCTGCCCACAGCGCGAAGGTTAGGTTATCGGCCGGCCCCCTCCCCCCCCCCTCTCGGATAACCCGGGTTGTCGCCGACTAAAAAATCGGTCTCGTACGCGTCCGCATTGGGTGCGCTTTGACTGCCCGGCCGTCTCCTATGTTTTGGTTGTCTCAAGCTGTGCTTGATGGAGTATCTGGTGCTGTGCACTCCGCCTTCCTGTGGCATTCCGTTCCATTCCACTCCCCGGGCCGCGTCGGCGCACCGCGTGGAGGAGCCAGCCCCCTGGCCTGCAGGGCGCAGCAGCAAGACATGCTTGTCCGCTGTACTGTGACGCATGTGGGAGGGTGTGCGCGCCGAAATTATCCTGCCGTCGCGTCGGATGTGCCCCTGATCGTGATTGTCGTTCCTCCTCGTCCTCTTCCATATGTACACATATCGCCTACCTCCTCCCTTCTGCCTCCTCACTTCTCCAGATGTTCTTGAATATCTCGAGGTCACCTTGCATCTTTCGGCCCTTACCACGTTTGGACGCACGCATCCCTTGGCTTTCGCGCCGTTCCGATGGTCTTGCATCCTTGGACTCAATCCTTATCGCGGACTTTGCATGTCGCCGTGCTAATTTCTATGTGCCGGCTTCTGGGCGCGGAAATCTGCAGCCCAACTCCGCCTCTTTGAATTGGCGCGTCCCAGCATGTGTGTTTTGCGTCTGGCCGCAGTATGCCTGCTTTTCCCAGGGCCTCGGCATTGCACCGAGAGGATGTGATGCGTTGATCTTCGGCTGTCCGCGTCCCCCTTCCTTTTTCTCCCCTCCCTCTCCCCCAAAGGCACAAGTTCTCCCGCATTGTCTCCTGCTTCTCCTCGAGTTGACAGACGGCGCCGCGGGTAGTCAGCAAGCTGACAGGCCGCAGTCAGTGTGCAGCGGGCTCGGGAGGATTCAGTGTGGCGCTACCTCTTCTGTCTCAAATGGTCATCGTTCCCATGTAGCTGGACCTAGTCCGCCTTCGTGACAAAAAACAAGTGGCACGCGTGCTCTGGCTCTTGCACATTCGAGGAGAGAAAGAGGAGGAGGCGCAGGTGGGGGGATCGAGGAGACAAGGAGGAGGAGGAGGAGGAGGAGGAGGAGGAGGAGGAGGAGGAGGAGGAGGAGGAGGAGGAGGAGGAGGGGGAGGGGGAGGGGGAGGGGGAGGGGGAAGGGGGAGGAGGAGGAGGAGGAGGAGGAGGAGGAGGAGGAGGAGGAGGAGGAGGAGGAGGAGGAGGAGGAGGAGGAGGAGGAGGGGCAGGTGTGGCCAGGGCGCCCCGGTGCTGAATCAGCGGTTGTCGATTGGGACCTGCTCGAATGAGTTTGTTTGACAGCTGAGGCGCGGTAGATTTTCCAGGGTGGGCCAGAGGGGAAGGCCGGGTCCAGGGACAGGGACAGCGGGGCGAGGGGGGCTGGGGCCAGGACAAGGGGGCTAGGCTGGGGTCCAGTGCAGGACCAGGGTGGCGAGGGGGGCTGGGGCCAGGTCCAGGGGGGGCGACTTTCTGAGGACGCTTGCTTTCGGGAAAGGGGCTTCGAGGGTGGGCGCATGGAACACCCCAGCTGATCCTCGTCGCTCGCCTGCTGGATCGGCTCGCACGGTTCGTTGGCGCAGGCGCCGTGGCAGCTCCGCGGTCGGGGCTTTCGCCGTTCCCGCGTAGCCGATGACACAACAGTAGTTCGGGGGGTGCGCACCCCCAACACCAGCGTCGCGCCACCCAGAGGGGGGTCCAAACTCAGGTGCCCACCTTCTGGAGCGACGCAGCGGCTCGCCAACTGGGGCTGCCTCCTCTCACGCGGCACAGCAGCGCCGCCTCCCCCCTAACAATCACCCTCTCTTCACCCGCCCACCCCCCATGGAGGAGGAAAGGAGGAGGACGAGGCTCACACGCCGTTCAGACGAGAGGACGCAGGTCATCAGTCCAGCAACGGACTGGAAAGTAGCTGGCAGAGAGTGCACCCGCAGAATGCTGGCGCAACTTCAGAGGCGCGGTCGCAAGATTGGCGCTGGCGGCTCTCGACCCTTCCGGGCTCTCGACCTATTCCATCAGGACCAGAGGAGCCCTCCAACCCCTCCCTCCGCCCTCCTTCTTTTCTCCGCGGCCGTTCGGCTTACAACGTGGAACCCCTGCTCCACAGTATCCGTGCTACAAACGATGCGCTGCGCGGCATAACACACCTGGTCTGACACTCCGATTCGATTTTCTGGCAGAGTGCGGGGCGGCTCCAGAGTTCCTCACTCAGTGGCGGGACGGCATGCAGCTTGACGCACCATGGGTTCAACCCAAGCAGGCGAAGGATGATCTGTCGCATCTGGAACACCAGCCGTGGGCCGAGGAGGACTTCGACCGCCTTGCCAAATTCGGCAAGGTGCATGTGTACCCGCCTGGCCAACCTAGGCCGGCGGGTTTGAACGTGAACCCGCGCGCGCATCTCTTGAAACCGCGGGAGGGCGCTGCGGACGATCTTCCCGACGAGCAACGATTTAAGTCACGCGTCATCGTTGATTTGCGCATGGGGCGGGTCAACGAACATAGCCCTGATATCGGGGTTCGATACGGCACTTTGGAGGACGTGATACAGCGTCTCACGTCCTCGTCGTGGATGTTTGTATTAGATCTCCAAGATTGCTTTTCCAACTGGAAGGTTGCCGAGGTCGACACCCTTTTCCTCGGCTTTTACCACCCCAGCACGCGGCAGCTCGGGAAGTGCAGCTTCCTCCCGTTCTGTCTCAAAAGTGCCCGCGGCATCAATGATGCCTCTGTCAAAAAGCTGTTGCGATTTCTCAAACATCACAGGGGAGTCGACCTCTTGGATTCGTCGGTGACTTGTCCGGCGCAGCCGCGTCGAAATCCGAGGCGTGGCTCCAGTTGCACGGTGCAGTTGATTTCCGTCTATCTTGCGGCATACCCGTCAGCGCAGAGCCTTCGGGCGTGAAAGGGCCAGCGGCTCGCCAGACGTGGATCGGCTGGACCTTCGACGCGGCTAATGCCGTAGTCACAGTCACGCAAGAGAACAGCGACAAACCCGTGCGCATCTGCCAAGAGGTGCTCGCGGCAGACATGGGCCGTCCCCTGCGTAGTCGCCAAGTCGCCGCGGCCGCGGGGGTCGCCAGCCATCTGACGGAACTGCTGCCGCAAGCTCAGCGCCAACTCATCCGATCTGGGCCGACCTGAATTCTGGTGGGGTGTACGCAGCTTGTCCGACAACACGCGGCAGGTTCTGGCGTGGTTGACGCGCACTTTCGCCACACCTCCGTGCAGACATCTTGTCTGCGAGGGGGGCGTTTTGTCGTCATTGAGACACAAATCCCACGAGGTTGCGAACTGGCGCGCGTTCGCAGCAGACGGCAAGGCGCATGTGATCGAAACAGACGCTTCACGCGACCACGGGTGAACCTACCACCTCTGCAACTCGGGAGTGGGAGTGGCCGGCGCGTGGGCTGGCGGTATTGCAACTCAGGGGCAGGTTTTTGCGGCCGACGCCATCAACTACAAAGAACAGTGGTTGGCGGCCGAATTTTTACGTTGGGAAGGTGCCCGTCTCCGTGGCTGGAGAATCGTTATCAACATGGACATCGCTTGTGCCATTCATTGCGTGAACTTTAGGTGCGGCCGCCCTCGGCACTTAGAACACTTAACTCGATATTTCGAAGACGCTGAACGCGCGTCGGGGTGCTGGGCGCTCGCTGCACGCCTCCCGGGCCGCTCCAACGTAGTGGCTGACAGGGGCTCCCAGGGCTCGGGCTTTGCAGCCGGCTGGGCCGAATATCCTTTCGAAGATGCTTTCCTGCGTAAAGATCTGTATACGGAAATGCAGAGTCGATGCAGCGTCGCTTGCACGGAGGACCTCCTTGCCGACAGGCGCGGGCTGTCCGCTTTAGCCGCGGGGTGCCGATGTCTGGAGCTGACGGCTTTCGAACGCAGCCTTGAGGGTCGCGTCGTCTGGGCCCGCCCGCCGCGGGGTCTAGCCCAGGCGTGCCTGGATTTTTTGAAGTCTGTCGGGAAAGCTTGTCCGTCCCTTAAGATTTTATTGCTTCTGCCAGAGGGCGCAGGATCCCCGTGGTTCCGCGCGGGCGCGCTTTCCTCCCGGCGCCGGGTCCGCTCCCGGGATCCCCGTTCGGACATCTTGCAGTGGCTCTCTTCGAAGGGCCAGGTGCGGCGCGGGCCCCGCGCGGACCTTCGCTATTTGGTTTTGGCCAGCTGGGAACCAGCCGGGAGAAGCCGATGATTGCACAGACTGCGCAGTCACTTCGCGCGGGTTCTAAAAACACACGCGCCCGCGCGCTCGCCTCCCCCCCTCTCCGGCGCTCTGGCACGCCACTTCCTTGCCTTCCCTCCTCCCCCCATCCCCGTCCTACCTCGCCCTCGCCTGGGCGTCCGGCCCTGTCTCGTTGGGGCCCATTCGGACGATGGCAGTGGACGGGGGAGTAAGGGGGGGGTTGGATAAGTGAGGACAGGCTTCGGGAAGTACAGAGATAATCACAGCAGTCCTGTTCATAACGAGAGCTCAAACAATGCAGAAATAACGATCCACCCAGGGAGTCGTCGATGAAGCGCAACAGAGCCATTCAAAACGAGGGGCCAGACTACGCAGCGACGGCGGCCCATCCAGGAGGATAGCGTCTCTGGGGGGACGCGCGCTCCCCGCGCCATTCGGCCCGAGGCCCGAGAGCAACCGCGCGGGCTAGCGCACCTCGGCCCCGCACCTTTGACGGGCATGGCTTCCGACGAACAGGGCAAGACACTGATTGCGGAAGCCGTCGAGGCCGCGACGGAACCCGGAGGCGCCGTCTACAATTCCGTCGTGGAAAGGAATGCAGAGCAGCTCAACGCCGCGACCCTCCCAGGCGGGGCCGCGTGCGCAGCTGTCGAAGAGCCCGCCAAACCAGGGGGCGTCGCCCACGCGGCGTTCGCCAAACGAGTGCAACAGGGCGGCTGACCAGGAGTGCCCTTGGCGGGCCGTTTTGCAGAACCTCAAGGTTTCGCAGTGGAAGGCGACGCGGGAAGCGCTCGCGGTCGACCTGTCGAGGCAGCCGGGGAGGCCATCGAGAAGTTCGGGAACCCCGCAGTTAGCCTGTGGGGGTTGAACGCGGCCCACCGAGAAAACAAGGAGCTTGAGGCTCTAGAGACCCGCGTCGCGATGAAGCACGTGGTTCGCGCGAAGTGGAAGGACTTGCGCCTCCCGGAGCGGGGCGGGCCCAGCGTTCAGATGCCGCCTTGGGGGGCGAGCCGAAGCCGGCAAGGGCCAGAACGTCCGCGCCCTCGGCCGCTGCAACCAGGTGCTCTACCACCTCGCGGAGAAGAGGTGCACGTCGGTCCTCGCCGGCGCCCAGGCCAGCGCTGCCATGGCCGAGGCCCGGCGGGCGACGGTCATGGAGTGTGGCTACTACGCCATGAAGGCCTTCAAACAACGCACTTATAGACCGGGTGCGGCTTGGGCCTTCGACCACGAGACCTTCCTGAATGACTTCGGCCTCGACTTGGTGTTCGGGGGCATTGCGCTCCTGAGCGCGGCTGCTGGCCAAAGCCGCGCGAACGACCTGAAGCGGCTCGGCGCCGACTCGCCGCAGTCTGTTTCGAAAGCGCGGCGCCTGGGCGACCCATCGGGCGCGACCGGGTCCGCGGGCTACTGCCAGAGCGGAGCGGCGGGGTCCGGCCCCCGCGCGAGTTCCGGGGCGAGGGCTAACCGCTGGTCCAACGTTCCGGCGGCAGGCCCTCAGGCGGCCCCGCCCCAGGCAGCTCCGCGGGCGCCGCCAGCCCCAGGTCGCAAGGAGTTGGTGCGACAGATGAAGGCCAGCCTTGCTGCTGTCGCGCCGGGAAAGCCCGCGCAGTTTTTCCAGAGGTGGTTCGACGAGCGTTTCAACGAGAAAGGCTTGCAACAGGCCGCCCCCCAGGTCAGCCGGGGGGCGTGCAGGAATTGTCTCTGCGGCGGCAGGGGCGTCTTCGAGCGCACTTTTAAAGAGCGCCGCGACATTTTCAAGAACATGTGC